GCTATGTATGACTAGTCTTGTAAGGCCATGACTCAAACTGTACGAGTGTGAGCTGTACTTTTTTCCAACCCATACTGATGGGCCAAGAGATACAACAACTTCAGGCTTGCTTCTAACTGAGTACAGACGTCAGTTTTTTCTTCAGTCACTGCATATCTTTTTCAAGATTTCTCGTTTTCTAGCACTGATCTGTAGTGCTTAATTTTGTTACAGTATTGTAAATAATTGCTTTACATTGCATGTACTGTCAGGGTACTTCATACAAATCTTTCTACAGCATTTCCTCCATGAACAATGCTGTACAGAGGTATCATACATGAATAATCTTTGTTCAACACTAAATTTAATTTTTTAATTATATTTCACAACACTGCAACAGTATCTCTAGAGCAGCTAACCATGCTATCAAGATACGCCAGCAAGCATTAGATGACTAAGCAATGGTCCAGCAGCCAGCAGTGGACAGGTGTAGGCAGAATATATTTCCATCTGGCTGGTCAAACATAAATTGGATTCCATGTTTGGTACAAACTTGCAGTATGAGTGCAAGTGAAATATAAAATGAATAAGAGGAGATAGTCTTGTTTTGCACAAGGATGTATTGGTTTCAGAAAGTAACATTCCTGTACTTTGAGTGAGTGTTCATCTATTTAAAGTAGTAGTAAATCAGAAGCTCTGATATAATATGAAACTAGAAACGACATAGCAGATGTCATTAGTTCTGGTTTCATTTTAGCCCAAGCTGGATCAAATTTGAAAACTGAGTACTTTAACAGAACGTGGAATCACTTTCATGAATAACGTGTACTCTGAACAGGCATATCAGGTGACAGGTTGACACTGTTCAGTCTTTCTCTTAAATAACATGGGCGTGAATCATTGTTGTATAATCATTTAAATCTAATCTTTTTCTCAAGTGCAATATGCAGAAAGGATCTGGTACAACATCAAAACTTTTAATGTAGGCTAAAATGAAACTGAAGCTTTATGCAAGTCCCAGACTATCAATTCCTGCTAAATTGGAAGACAACGAATAAGTACATTTTTACAGAAAGAAGAAACGGCACTGAGAATGTGAAAATGTTACATGCTGTATTCATCATGCCTTAGGTAAGAATATTATTTCCATTCCAGTATGAAACTCATTTTATATATTTATTAAAACATGAACTGAGCCGTGATACATTTCAGACTTTTATATTTACATCCCCTTAAGTCACACAATGTTACACTTCTGTACTAAAAGATTAGTGCAGTATTTGAGCAAGAGAGATTTCTGGAAAGCTTTGAAATATTACATTGTATTTATCTTCATAATTTTATGGTGTGTTGACATTACAGTATTATTTCAGTATATTCCAGAGTTGTCGCAGATGAACTGTATGTTGTATGTATACTCTCAACATGCATATATTTACAACACCCTGCTGCATTTGATTTCTGATGAAGGCACTACATTCCAAAGGTTAGTACCTTGTAGTAATGGGGACAATTTATAAGATAACGGGTATCAAAAGGTAGCTTTGATTGCAGAGAGGAAATGTGACAGTGTTCAAAAGTAAATTTGCTTCAGAATTCCTGAAGCTGTGCAGTATGAGGAGACTGGTATAGTACACTGCAGTGTTGGTGGTTGGGTTGTCACAGTGTTAGCTTTGCTTTCAAATTCTGCTCAAGTGAGGGTTTAGCGGTAAACCTGTAAATGCTGAAATGTGTTATATCAAGTTAGATGGGAAACCAGGGTATATCTGAATCTTCTGCTCAGAGAAAAAGACTTCAAAATTGGAAGCATATTTTAACCTTCACAGAATCGGTATGTTTTGGCATCAATTTTTAAAGGCACAGGAGAAGAAATGGAAAATATACTACTATTATCTTCTCCTTAGTTTAGGTTTGGTGTTACATATCAGTCAACTCAGTACATATCTTCCTTGCTTGGAATTCATAAAATTATGTGTAATGAGGGCATTTTCAAATTGTTCCATGGATTTCAATGAGTTATGGTACTAGGACTTTATACTAAACGTTGCTGAGCGGGCTTTATGTTTGTTTTCAAGTGGATGTATGAGATTATCCTATAATCTAGGAAATGATAATGCATTTAATTGCCTATATAAGGTGGTGTTTTATATGGTATGTAATAGAACTCTTGAGCCGTAAGTTGAGAAAATATTTAACCTTTAAGTGTCGAAGTGCCCAGTTTGTGCCAGTGGTGAATAAGGTCGTTGTGGCCAAAGTACCCAGTTTTGGCCATTCGGGCATTTAAACTCCGCTAGGGGAAGCACGCGCACACGCCGCTAATAGAAACGAATGCGCAGTCCTAAATATTTATTTTTAAATGTAGTAATTACCAGACAAGTCTTGAGTAAAGCCCTAATAGAAAAATTAAAATGATACCTAGGTGAACAACAACACAAAAGAGTATACGTATGAGTTATGCCCAAACTCATCCACGAGCCAGTACTTTTATTGCAGATTCCACAGATTTATGTGTTAAAAATATATAGTAAAATTCGATGTACATACCTTTTTTTTTTNTTGCTTCCATCTGTTTTATGACATCAGGGACTGCTAAAATTTGTCAAGTGTTACAAACAGAAATGAATTTGTAATGCAGAACAACTCTGTGAAGAACTGGAAAATCATTTTTGCAGTACTCATCAAAATTAAAAGACAAAAAATTGAAATGGAGTATAATTTGTATAAAAAATTTCAAATCTTCCGTTATAATATGCTACAGAATGTTCTTTGCTGATACAAACAAAATTAATTCCACCCATTTATCATAAAAATTGAGTTAGATACAGCATTTTTAACACAATGCATAAAATTGTTTAGGCGCACTAACAGAAACGGACATTTAAACGCAGAGTAACAAGGGGCATTTAAACGCGCACCAGCGGCGGACATTTAAATAAACTCCGGCCAGCTCAAGCTTACCACTATTTCAGAAGTCCGGCGTTTAAAGGTTAATAGACCTGTATGGTTTACCCAGTATAGAGCAAAGTTCTATGGGTTTATGTAGTTGTAACTGCTGGCATCTAATAATCTTGAGCATCTCTACCATTCTCTGACCCCCCCTTTATGTAGATTTTAATTAAAAATATGTTCCATTTACTTCTTACATAGTTTCTGTCAGCAGTGATCAAACCTCTAAGTGAGTGAATGATTCAGACTTTTCATGTTTTGTATTTCTATTTATATCCAGCACATGTGCTATACAAATGAGTTAATGACATCCAAAGCATGTATTTAATGCAGAAGAGTGTGAGTTGCTGTTTTTCATCCTACTCCCAGACAACATGCTTCCAATGTTGCTTATATGTGCCTAATATGTATGAGTCTGAAAAGCTGCCATTGCTGGTAATTGGAAAGTAGAGAATTATGAAGAAGAACCGTGAAGTCCCTGCCATGCGAATACACACATAGCAATAGTACTTACGCACTCTTTGTTGTGTTCCTAACATGTTTGGAATGGAGAATGGCAGCCAAACACTGGAAAATGCTGCTGTGTGTAGACCAGTGTGCACCATCACTACCTTGATGTCATTCCTGATGTGCCAGATTCAGTCATTAGAAACCTCAGGGAACTGGAAAATTTTACTTCAAATTTTTTCTTCAAGGAAGAATAACATATCAGAATGGACTCTTTGACTTTAACCACTGCAGCAGGAACATATAGGGCATATTTGAAAGCCTGCGTATTTATTCATTTTAAAATATGTTTATTCTGGTAGTTCTCTGCGAAGGATAGAACTATTTCTGTAAACATTTTGCAGCCTATCCTTTTAAAATGTTTTCCTGCTTAAGAAGTTTATATTCCTTGGTCCTTTGGAAAGCTTCTTAGCAAAAATGAATCCACTATATATATTGCAGGTCAGCACATATGGCAACTTGTGTGGAAATATCCTAGCCTAACACGGCTTGGCAACCTTACTGGACATTCATCTGGTGTGCTTTATATGGCAGTGTCTTCTAATGGGGAAAAATTGTGACCGGCACTGGTGACAAGACTTTGTTTTTGGAATATGTGCAGCAAAGCTAGTTCACAGGAGGTAAGTGCTCAGTTTATGCACTGGGGAAACATATTTTTTAATGGATTACATTTTTTAAAGTGGCATTTTTACTTGCAGAAATTTATAGAAAATATTTATGGTGATTTTCAAGTTTCTGTTTTAGGAGAATAACTTAGACCTCCATCTGTTCGCCAGCATCCGATGATGTGTCTGCAGATGCCAAAGTTATCAAATGCTGAAATGGTCCAGTTCTCACGTGTTAATGATGTAGAATTATATTTTCTTTTGTTCTTCAGATGTTTATGTTTTATATATAGTACTTTAAATGTAAATTTATTATTGTTTATATATGTCATATTTAACAGTATATGTATATCTGATGTTAATAACATGTTCTTACTTGCATATGACTCATTATGTATTGTGTAAAAATACAGGTAAATTTCATATTCTATAAAACTTCTAAACTAGAAGTAGGCTGTGTAGTAAATTTCCTGTCAAATTACAACTGAGGCTAGGCAAGCAACATATTAATCAAGCTGGTGCATCAGTGATGTGTTTGCAGGTAACTGTCTCCTTATCTGTCTTCTGTATATCAGCATACATTGGTATGGGTTATATAACCTCTGTAATTAAATAATTATCGAAGTGTTAAAGAAGGTGCATAATTGTCATCTGCCATAGCTTTATTGCAAGTACATTTCCTTGTTTAACCAAAATGCGCACTGCTTGCATTAACTTGTTTCAAGTACGTCATCCTATTAGGTGTAACGAATAAAGAATAACTAACTTCATGGAGCTGAGCCTTCTTGAGAAGTTGCAATTGTGCAGCTACTCAGGAACTTATGACATTTTATGGAACCCGAAGGTTCATTACCGTGTTCACAAGAGCCCTCCACTGGTCCCTGTCCTCAGCCAGATCAATCTAGCCCATACCACCCCTTATGATCTCTCTAAGATTCAGTTTAATATTATCCACCAACTTACCTCTTGGTCTTTCTAGTTGTCTCTCTCCTTCTGGCTTTCCCATCAAAATTCTACGTGATGCAGTCCTCATCTCCCCCATTCGTGCTATGCACCCTAACCATTTAAACACCCTCAGCCTAGGGGGCCTAGGGTGACGTAGATGGCGAAACGGGAAGTCATCCACGGGTTGCATTTTAAGTTTGGAAGTAATTTTTTTTTAGTAAAACACGAGTAAAAAATTCAGAAGTAAGTATTAAGAAATACATTAAAAGTATTGTTTACAGTGTCATTTGTAAAAACATCACCCCATAGTTCATAGCTTAGCATTTCTTGAAATTTAGTTATAATTACTATAATTTCTCATGTGCTGAGGATTACCTACTTATTCAGATGACATTATATTATCAATTATTATCATCTGAGCATCATGATCAGATAGTCCGTTAATTATTGGTTTAATTGTATATGTCAGGGTTAATATATTAATGTGATAAATATTTAAATATTTGAAAAGTAATGAAGTTTTCTATTATTGTACCCTATTTATAATTAATATTCTGTGATAAGCGTATCGATAGTTAGTAATCCATGACTATATGGACGTGATTAGCGTTGTGTACTGATCTGTGTGTGTGTTTCGCAAGCTTTCGACAGCATGTTTTGAGTGGTGTTTGAATCGATTGAGTGTTGGTTTTTAGTAATGAATGTGTATTGTAACATAAAGAGTACTGGCTAAGCTATGGCTACCGGTACGCAAAGTATGAAATCAAAAGGGCCGGCTCCGACCGTAGACCAAATAAATGCTGACAGAATTACACAGGTGAGGAAACATAACCTAGACGTTTATGAGATATTTTACTTACATGAGTATAAATTAGGATAATCTGTATGTGATATATTCTGTTTTAGCTTGCAAATCGGTACTGGGCACCGTATACCATAGAAAATCATCTCCCATTTGATGACAGGGTCGTTGAAGATATATACACAAAAGAAATACGTGGCTCAAAGTAAGTGTGGTTACATTTTGTGCAATTCAGCAACTGGTATGCATTTTTCTTCTACGGAACTCATTTAGCAATAGAATAATTTCTCAAAGCCCTCAAAACCAGCATGGTTACTGCACTAAGACGGTGAATGTGTATATATTTTATGTCAGATTTCAGGAAGCGTTTTATATTTCACTTAATGCAGTAGGTTTGCTTATTATCCACAAGAACTTTGAAGTTACGTAGAGTGTTAAAAGCAGTATCATGTTGTGTTCTGCATAATGCCTCCTATGATATTTGATTTATATTTTATATCTTGAGAATATGCCTTCTTGTAGATTACAGACAGCAAGTGGAAATAAATCTTTACAGTCAGGTTTACAGGATGATTAAATTCTTCCCTTGGGTGAGCCCAGAAATTAAAAAATATAAAGATTTGTATATTTATCTTTCAGAGCAGCATTTATAGAGCTGTCAGTTATTTCTTCACCTTTGTTGGTGTCTCTGTCTCTGGCACAAATAGTGTAAGAAAGTTATGAAACCAATGGAAATCTTATGCCTCAGGTGGAAAGTCATCTTGCATTTCTCTATTGAAGTCATTAATGGCATATTACTTTGAATATAAGACGCACATTTTTCACATTTTTTCCCATTGAAAAATTGAGATGTGTCTTAAATTTGAGGAATTATTCAACAATTTGCAAACTGTCCATGGGATAGCCTGGAAAGAACCTAATGAAAACAGATGCAGAGTGAGTCATCAAGCCATATCATCCCCAACCTATAATTTTGAGTCAATGTTAAACAGAAAGATAGTGCCAAAAAATTTTTTGTAAAGATGTAATAGTTAGGGCCCAAAAGATGCGTAGATGACATCAGAGTTAATGGACGACTGATTTGGATGTTGGCCTGGTGCGTTATCAAAGCCACTGAGTATGCTTGCAAGGGATACATTTTGTGGCCACCTCTCCAGTATAATCACAAATAGGTTAGGTCAAGGAACAAAGACACTGATCTAGTGATAATTCCTGGCATTATTACAAGTCAGTTACAACCACTTGATGTGTCAGTTAATTAAAATTCAAGCGTCTTCCCCATAAACACTGGTAATGTAAAAGTAAAGTAAAGCTATCCCTGTAACAGGCCATGAAGGACCCACATTATCTAGACAGTCGGCTCAAAGATGGCAGTAAGGTTGTCAGCCTTACGCGCCACCCGCGCCTTACTCCCCAGGAAAATTATTTAATTAATTCCTGATACTCATTTCTGTTAGAGGCTGAGTGAACCCCAGGGCCATAGTGTGGCTGGAAGGATTAGGGAAATTTAAAAAAACCCAATGACTTTATCGGCATTTGAACCCGCGACCTTCCAACTTGTAGCATAGGGCTTTAACCACTACACTACAACACTGGTGCCTGGCTGAATAAAGTCAGTTAAAGTACATTGATAGTGGCAAAATAAAGAGAGTATAAGCATCGGTAATAGTGGAGTGGATATCAAAAGCTTGGAAAGAAGTCCCATTCAATATTATTCCAAAATAATATTTAAAATACTGTTTGACTAATGTGGATGATGGAATGCGAGATGACATTCTTTGGGACAACAGTGAACAAAGTGGTGTGGCCTCATCATGTTCAGAAAATGAAAGTGTGACTGAAAGATCATTAGACAAAGTTTCTGATTGAACAAGAAAGATAGAAAAGAATGTGCATGTAAATAAAATTTTAAATTTCCATTTTATTCTGTTATATCTTCCATAATTTTTTGCTTTAAATGTGTTTTAATATTTTGTTATTTTAATTGATGTCTTCTAAATAAACTGGTTGAAATAAATACACCTTTCTAATATTTTTTAAAACCCACATTTAAATTTGGATACATCTTAAATTTGAGGGTGTCTTATATTTGAAGTTATATGGTAATTACTTATGTCTGAGGAAATATCATCATTAATGTGGCATTGAAGTTCAGAATATGCTCTGTGACTTCTCTTTAAGTACACCTTCTTCAAACCCCTATTGTGATTGTTGTATTTTGAACATTGAGTTTGTGTAATCTGTATAAAAGTATCATCTAAATATGTCAGTCTTTAATTCACAGAGTCCAGTCATTTCAAGAGAGAGTTGGCAGGTTGCACTTTAATCACTTTCAGAAGAATCAAAATAATGACAGAAGTACAGATTTTTTAATAACAGATTTTTTGCAGCACTGTAGATTGAACTAGAAAGAGTAAGTTCCGTTCATAGCTGCCTCCGCAGTCTAGAGGTAACGTTCCCACCTCATGACTCGTAGTACGCGGGTTCAAATACCTGGCGGAGGTCGTCGAATTTTTAAGGGCGGAAAAATTCAGGGAACAAGTCCTCCAGGAGGGACTTTAAGCCGTGGGTCCCATACCTTAGCTTTACGGCACGTAAAAGAACCTCATATCTCCAAAGGAGGTCACTGAGCCAAATTACGGACGTTTCCCGCCCAACAGCAGTCTCTAATACCTCCGGTAGATGGGGGAAGCATTACAGATACCTCTCAGCTAGTAGAGCCGGTCTCGCTGGCTGGGCGGGACTGATGGTAAGCACCAGTACCGGTAGGATATAGAGACTGGTAGAAATCATAGAGGGAAGCACAATGGACCGATACAGGTCTAAGTGCATGGGGAAACCCACCCTCTCCAATAACTAACTGACTAAGTTAAGGAATGAACTCTAATAGAATCTCTAACAAACTAAAATATTAACTTATTGGAAGCAGTGGAAGAATATACTCAACAAGATAACAAAAGGGATGGAAAGGTTGTTTTATAGTAGCATTAAGTGGGCATCTGACCCTAAATAAAGAGCAAAGAATGGTGATGGTTATGTCATTTCTTCATTACTTTCCATGAATTTTAGTTTTTCAATTCGCCGTATCATGATGTTGGAGTTCAGCCAGTATTTGGAGAATTATCTGTGGCCCAATTACCTTACATCAAAGTCTTCACATGCTCACATGATGTCCATTGTGATCATGGTTAATGAGAAGTTCAGGGAGAGAGTTCCAGCTTGGCAGGTAAGGCATTGTTCATCATAAAAATATTTGAATAAACTATAGGTAGAATTTAAGAAATGATAAATGCTGCAGTGCTGACATTAGAATTGGACTGTTTCTTTTGCATCTTTAATTCTAAAAAGATACATCCTGAACTAATGTGTGAAGATACGAAGTATCTCATAACAGGGGCTAGTGGCAGGCTTTTGTGAATGTGGTGATGATCTTTGAGGTACAATACAAGCTAATATGAGGTGGTATCGGAAAGTTCCTGGACTCTTAGGCGGCCCATACATGTACAAGCCAGGCTCGGATTAATTTCACCACACACGTATGAGTGGCAACCCACACATGGACGAGTTTGGTTCATTGGAACCCGAGCCGAGTCAGACTCACGAGCCAGACTCGTACATGTATGGACCCCCTTATTGTTGTAACTGCCTTGGTGAAAGAGGATGAGAGGGGAGGCCAAGGTCACACTTCTGAAAGCCTATTGCATCAGTCTGCCACGTGACACCACACTGTGAACACACATTTTTACACGAGTGCTCTTTAAACTTCGTGTTTTGTTTTGTCTTTGATGGATGACAAAACCGAGTGACGTATCTGCATTAAATTTTGCCTGAAGCTCGGTAAAACGCCCCAGCCACTTCACCCCTGGGGAATGAGGTCTTGGTACCCATTGGATAAGAGGCTGGGTGGGCCCCAGAACCATTCTGGATGACATGGAAAGGAAAAAAGAGCTTGCCCCTACCGGGACTTAAAATCTGACCCCTCAGCCATGCAGCCCATATCCAGTCATCATACTGGCTGTGCTGTCATGGCTCCACATTAGCTATGTATGGTATGGTATTTTTATTTGAAATATAAAAATTTCCAGGCCCATTTGGTTCTCTGTATATTAGAAGTAATTAATAATTTGGACCATTCTGCAGTCCTATTAACCCCGGGCACTTTTCAATTTTCAGCCATTTAGGAAGCTACAAGAACATTTTCCTGGCTTCTTCCAACAAATGTTGGAGGCCTGTCTAATGGATGAGCCAAATTGTTCTCTTCGTGAACAGACAGCACTGTTGGTTTTCCTAAACCATTGCTTCAACAGTATGGAGGTGGACCTCATTCGTGACCAAGTGAAACGGCTTGTATCACTATCTATGTGGGTCTCATTACAGCAGGTAAATATTTTTTGTACCATAATCTAGATATTTTTTAAATTCACTGTACTCTTGCATTGAGTTGGAAGTTAAATGAAATGTTAGATGACCACCACTATTAACATTACTACTACAATAATTTACATTTCAGTTTTCTTTTTTGAAGCAAATTTTCTGTTATTATATAATATGATACATTGCACTGGTATGGATGCATATCGGTAATTCAATGACTAAACATATTCTCATATCAACTGTCTGATGATGGTCTTGACCAAAACATGTAGCAGAAAATAGAAAGGTCTACTGTGTTTCAGTTATGGCTTACACATTTACATTAACATTACTACTACAACAGTAATTTACATTTTACATTTTTTAAAGTTGGATTCTGCTGGTGTGCAGTTGTGTGTAAATATCAGTCTTACATGAGAATAGTATGTTTCAGTTTTGGTTTATACATGTACAGGGCTTTTTGCATTTGGACTTCATTTGTTTAGGGCCGGAGAGAGCAAGAACTACGAGCTGTTCCCAAATGGAGAAAGTACTGGAAACTGATTCAGCGCAAAGACACTCAAGAGGCGAGAGAGAAACTGGACTGGGAACGTAGATTCCTGCAAAGACTTATGGTCAAATTCATGAAGTTACTTGAATCTTTACAACCAGAAGGTTAGCTTGATTACTGCCATTGAACTAGGATATACTCTGTATAGTGCTGTTATAGTACTCTGTGTTGTTGCGTCTAAATGCTGCAACCTTGAACACTTATTGCATCTTTTCAGTGCTTATATTCATTCAGCTAATGAGAATGATGTTTTTTTTTTTGTTTAATTGAATACTCTGTTTATATATATGTGCATACAGTTGGGCTTGGACCATAGAAACTTAATTGTAAATTGGGGAAAACTATGATTAGAAAAGTTAAATGGATTCTGTGGTGTAGGACTGTACCTGAAAATTAGAAGATTATATAGAGAAAGCATGAAAACTTTGTGGAGATGTGCTCTGTTTGGTCATAACACATATGTTTATGGGTCCCAAAACGTTGTAAATATGTTTACAGCATTACCAACCCCATAAGGAAACGAGGGGCACGCGGTAGCGTAGTTGGATGAGGCACTATGCTACAAACCGGAAGGTCGTGGGTTCAAGTCCTGATGAGGTCATTGGATTTTTTCAATTGACCTAACCCTTCCAGCCGCACTATGGCCCTGGGGTCGACTGGCGCGTAGGGCTGACAACCTTACCGCCATCTATGAGCCGATTGTCAAGAAAATGTGGGAACTCCAACATCTCACAACCCTATGGGCCTCCACAGTCTGTTACAGGGATACCTTTACGGTTTTTTTTAACAGAACAAGAGTAAAGAGTAACTTGCTGTTCTTTTGTTGCACTGTAGGTGAAGTCAGCAGTGAAGTGGTTCACTACTGTGAACGATTTTTGGAATTAGTAATTGATCTGGAAGCCTTGTTACCTACACGTCGTTTCTTCAATACTGTACTTGATGACTGTCATGTAGTGGTTCGATGTCATCTCTCACACCTTCCACGTCTGCCGGAGGGAAACCTGTTTGCTCAGGTAGGGAGTTTCTGCTTACGTTTCATAATGTAGCATGTAGAACTGTGTAACTATCACAGTATTTTGAGTTTCTCTGTGCAATATATATACTTCATACAGTTTAGCAGCTGAATGCTGTATCATTCTGCCATAAGGGATTAAAGGAAAAATTATTTCTTTGTGAAACATGATTGATTTACAAAACAAATGTGTAGGTGTATTAAGCATTTTTTATAATTCCATTTAAAATTTTTATCTTAATGGTGGTAATGACATTCATAACCATTTTAGCCTTTCAATACTAGGAGATTTAAATACCTTTAAATAACCAGAGGGCAGAAGAGGAAAGTGGGTTTAAAATTCACAAAATCACATACTTGGGCTGAACTGACTGTAACTACCATAATTTCAAAATCTCTCCATTTTTTATCAGTTGGGGTGAAATTTAGACTTGTGCTGGACCTGCTTACAGAATACATTCCTATTTGTGTAAGACAGCTACTGAATGTAACTAAGGTAAAACTGAACATTAAGTGCATTCAGTATTAGTATCCCAGTTTTCATTTCAGAATCACATTAAAAGAACATTTACAATCAAAACCTGATTCAGGAGGAAATTAAGAGGAGATTGAACTCGGGTAATGCTTGTTACCATTCAGTCCAGAACCTTTTGCCTTCTCATCTTCTGTTCAGAAACGTAAAAATTAGAATGTACAAAACTATAATTTTGCCTGTGGTTCTGTATGGGTGTGAAACCTGGTCTCTGACTTTAAGGGAGGAACATAGACTGAGGGTGTTTGAGGACAATATTTGGATGAAGTGATGGAGGTTGGAGAAAACTACATAATGAGGAGCTTCATAACTTGTACTCTTCTTCAAGTATAATTAGAATTATCAAGTCAAGAAGGATGAGATTGGCAGGGCATGTAGCATGAATCAAGGAGAGGAGGAATGCATATAGGATATTGATGGGAAAGTGAAGGAAGGAGACCACTGGAAGACCAAGACATAGGTGGGTGAACAATATTAAAATGGATCTGAGAGGGATAGGATGGGATGGTATAGATTGGATTGATATGGCTCAGGATAGGGACCAGTGGAGGGCTCTTGTGAATGCAGTAATGAACCTTCAGGTTCCATAAAATGATAAAATGCTGGCAAGTTCTTGAGTAACTGCACAATTGGCATCTTCTCAAGAAGGGCTCAGCTCTACGAGTGAGTGATTACAATAATAAGGAACACCCATAATAGATACCTGTTCTCCATGAATATTGCAGGCCATGTTAGGAAGAGTGCCATGCATTAATAAGATTCTCCATGAATTTATTTAGAAATTTTAACATCTGACTCCATGGCCAGTGTCCTCCCTGAACAGCTGATGGTTGTCCAGCCAGTCAGATTCCTGATAATATGAAAGCCAAAAGTTTATCGTCACATATGCAAAGGTGTGCATGTATGAATCATTGCAGCACAATTCGTTAACACATTAGTTTTTAATGGTGAGGTCTGTCACCATAACCAACCTTCCAGACTGGATGCCACCTTTTACCAACTGCCTGTGACTGCTGAATTTATTCACAATATAAAGATGCTGCAAAAAAAAAAAGAGAGAGAGAGAAGAAGTAAGGCTATCCCTGTACCAGGCCGTGAAGACTGATAGGGTTGTGAGACGTTGAGGGTCCCACATTAACTAGACAATCAGCTCAGAGATGGTGGTAAGGTTGTCAGCCATACGTGCCGGCTGCACTTTACTCCCCAGGAAAATTGTTTAATTAATTTTTTCAGTTGACCTAATCCTTCCAGCTGCACTATGGCCCTGGGGTCGACTCAGCCTCTAACAGATGCTGTACAGTAGATATTTTAATACACAATGAAATTTCCACATATGGTTTTTTTGGGAGAAACAAATTTAAATATTAATGTAAGGAAAAATAATTTGAGATTAAAAATAGGATCAAGTCAGACCAGAGTGTTGGTTCAGAAGGACAGAGGGACAGTATAGAGAAGGATGGGCTATTTTCATATAATTCATTATGAACCTGATGTAAAGAATCAAGTGAATAGTTTATAATGTTTTTATTCCTTTTGAAAAAGCACTTTAAGAAGCAGATATGAAAAGACTTGTTTATTTGGTAACAAAAGAATATATAAATTCTAGTAATTACATTGTTTTCTTGATTGAAGAATACTGTATCTGAAAATAAATTGCATGGTACGAACATTCATTTATCATCCATTCAATAAAATATACTTTTGCATTGGCTAAATTAGCAGCACCTACTGAATACTAATGTAAGTTTTGAAGATTCATGCATTTCAGTATTTTAGTTCCCATTCATGATGTATATTCATCCTGATAGGAAAGGCACTGGTAATTAGATTTCTAACGTACAATTTGATGTTTCAATTAAAATCATGTTTTATCATGTTTAGTGGGAAAAAAAGTCTAAATATTGCAACATGTTTGAACCAAGTTTTATCACTTAAGTCTTAGAAAGAATTATCACATTTATGAAGAGAGAAGCAATCGTTTCACATTTAGGGCACATAAAATGAGCCCATTTAGACTAGGGTTAAGTACTCATTATACAAAATAATACTCAGTATTCAGCAGAATTATGAAAGTAATCACAGAATGCCAATTTAAAATACACAAGAAATGATGTGTGTATAATCTCTCTACGTTTATTTCATGCTAAGCATGCAGAAGCATGTGTTTTCTTATTTAATTTCTGGAAGTGTAATTTGTAATGTGGGGGGGAAAAACTGTATTATGGCCTGAAGGAAAGGCTAGTTAGGCTTAAGAGTATAACAGTAAACATTTAAATAATGTACAGGATTTGGATTGACTTGTGGTTGGACTATACTCAGGACCTCTTAATTCTTCCTGGTTAGTAGATACTGTACAGTATGCACTTTGAAGGCCCAGATGCATTAGACTGGAAGGTTTTAAAATATTACTTCAGATTTTATGATATATCTGTCATTGTCACTGATTTAAAACGTTTCCCGTTAGTTTTCATTTGGAGATGTGTAGCTCTAATATAAAGAAATGTGCGGTTTATCAATTGTTCTAAACTGGCATATTCCACATTCCACAACAGCAGACTAATTCTCATATTATAAACTTTTCCGAGAACTGTCTTAAAATGGAGAAACCAAAATTTACCTCTCACTTCGCTGTCTCTGTGCAACTTTGTCTATATATTAGAATTCACACTTTGAGAGCTCTTTGTCTCTTCTAATTGTTCATTTAATGCTATTCAAGGATATGCAAGCAAGCATTTAGAACACAGAACACAATACAGAACATCCATGAACAGAGAAATACAACAAAAGTTGAGTGTACCGAATTAAATTCCTAAACTAAAATACATAGGACAAAGAGGCAGAACATTCCTCACTAGATACAAAGAACATATACAAGCATTAGGAATAATAATAGTAATTCAGTATACCCAAGCCACAAATCAAATGTGCTTCATGCATATGCAACCATAACAGTTACAGTGGACATTAAAAGGGAAAGGTGTCCCTGTGCTTAACGAATTAAGCACTAGGCCATAAAGACGTATGGGGGAGTGGATGTATAGATCTACATTTTCTTGACATTGGCGCTAGATGGAGGTGAGTGGTCAGCTTCACATCCTGGCTGCTTTACACCCGGGGAAAGAGCCCCCGGTACTCATTAGATAGGAGGTTGTCTGGACAACGTGAAGAAGAGAAAATCCTTGATCCTACCAGGACTCAAGCTCCGACCCCTCGGCCATCCAGTGAGTAGCCAGTTGCTATAACGACTACGCTCTCCAAGCTCTTGGATATTATAAGAACACGTAAAAATGGAAGACACTTAAGACACATTGGAAAAATGCCATATATACAAAATCAGTAAAAATAACTTACACATGAATGACTCAAACATTGATACACATAACCCAATATTCAGAACACTGCAGAAAATGAAAACCAGTTAGCAGCCCACACACCCAGCCCTCCTATATAAAAACAGAACCATTACACAAAACAACAAGAACAGCTACACGTGGCACAAGGGAAAGAAACCAAACACCAAAAAGTTTCATTAACATTGCAATCATAGAGACAGAACAGTATATAACATATCCATCTCTCAAATAAAACATTAATATAACCCATTATTACATATTTACAGATACATCAGACCCACAGCATGTGCGCACAACAAAAGTAACCATGGAATGATAATCTAGTAATAAAATAAAATATTTTATAAGCATTTACACTACTCGTAAAATGTGAAATACAACATCAGCAGTTTTCATCTGCAATCTTATACACCTCATGATGGCCAGTTAGACTGAAATATGCAGTGTTAAATAAATAAGAAGAGACGAGACTTCAATGTGTGAATTTCATGTATGGATGAAGTTGCACGAAGACGATAAAGTGAGATTGCTAATATTGGAATACATGGTGCAACAGGATGCTGCAATACAGTATTCTGGAGAGACAAACTTGCATACAGTCGGAAATAATTGACTTTTGTTATCTAGTTGTTTCATTGCTTCATGTAAGTCAGAAACAATATATGAGGAACAGCTATAAAATATCAAGACTGATTTTCTTGCAGACTACGTGGCCTTGGCAACATCGAGTGGGATGGCATATTAGTCTGTCCTCTCCCCTCCATCAACACTACCACTTCCAAGGCCAGGGCAACAGTGTGGTAGCAGCCTTTGTATCTGAACCTCATCAGAATTAGGTTAAGTGTTAAAGTAGAGCAACATCAATGTGAAATTCCTTGCAAAACTTGGAAAATCCACTACAGAAATGCACAATTTGTTGATGGAAGTTTATGGTGATGGGTGTCTACCGTATACTCAAGTTTTTGAGTGGTTCAGAAGATTTAAAGAGAGAAGGGGAGAGATCAAAAAGATCTGCGTCCCAGTTGGCCTTGCGCATCAAAAACAGGTGCTACATTGAAAAAGAAAGTGGAATTGTTCAAAAATATCGTTGCCTGAGCATTTGAGCAGTTGCTGAATTAACCAGCATTGATAAAGAAAGTGTTCAACAGACTATATTAACATTTTAACATGAAAAAAGTGTGCTCGAAGATAGAGCCAAGAATCCTCACTCCTGAGAAGGAAAAAACAACTCAAATGACCATTTGTGCTGACATCTTTCAAAACACTGAAAATGATCCAAACTTTTTAGGAAATATAATAATTTGTGATGAATCATAATTTTTTCAGTATGACCTGGAAACTAAGCACCAATCTATGCATTAGAAGAGCCACGTCACCAAAAAAAAAAAAAAGCACAGAACAAGAAGTCCAATTTCAAAGCAGTGATGATATTGTTTTCTCAACATATAAAGGATTGTTCACGTTGATTGGGTGCCTGAAGGTCATACCATTAATCAGGTCTACTATAAGGAAGTTCTGACAACCCTTCATGAATGGATGACAAAAAAAAACCTTAAATGTGGAATAATGGCTTATGGATTCTTCACCATGACGATGCCCCAGCACACAATGCACTGTCTGTCAAGACTATTCTGGTGAGGCGCAAGATCCCCGTCTTGGAACATCCACCCTAGTCCCATGTGATTGTTTTTTATTTCCAAAGATCAAGTCTGCATTAAAAGGAAACCGTTTTGAGTCCGTAGATGCAGTGAAGGCAAAAGCGATGGAGGTAATGAAGAAGCTATCAGAAAAGGACCTGCAGCATTGCTTCCAACAGTGGAAAATTCGCCTGGAGCAGTGTAGGGGTTGGGGGGGGGGCAAACTTTGAAGGTTATAACACTTCCATTGTGTGATTAGTTGAATAACAGATTTTAGAACATCAGTCTGCTTATTTATAGCCATCCTATAACAGAACCTGAATTAACCTTTATTCTCATTTTTATGCTAGTGCTTATATGTAGTCTGCCTTGTTGCACATTGCACTTTTTCCACATTAATATCATCACACCTGAGTTGATAGTAAACCGTTATCCCTATTCCTGGACAGTAAGGATTCATAGAGATAAAATACATGGAAACCAAACATGTGGGACATACCAGTTTACTAAGATGTTTAAAATATAACACTGTTTTGCCACCTAATATATATTTTTTACATGTTTGTAAACATACATATAAAACACTTACATAGTTATAGCTGCCATTTTCTTTACTCATTTGTTTTCCATAAAAAAAATGTTTAATTGCCCTTATAAATGCCAAGCTTACAATTATGAATATATTAAGTACAAGAATGGAATGGTGAGAATATCTATTGTTGTTAAACATAAACATAAATAAGTACAGTAAGAGATTCACGCCACTAAAAAAACTCTCTGGTTTTAGTATGCAAGCAAACTATACTGACTGAGTGACCGGTGCTTGCTGGCAAAGTTAGTGCCAACTTTGGCGAATAGAGGGTGTCGCGTGGTCAGCGCAACAAATCCCCACGGCCATTAATCTCGGTTTTCTAGACCGGAGCCGCTACTTGCTTGAAATAGCTCCTCAGTTATCCTCACGAGGATGAGCGGACCCCATTCCAGACCCACTATTTCTCATAAAATCTAGTAGTGCCAAGAACTGAAGTGGACCTCTGACCACTAGACCACAGAGGTGGACGATTCATGCCACCTCCACCACCAAGATAAATTCTCTTTTATAATACATAGGATTTGTTTGGATTCAGTGTGTAGCCAAGTGCATAAATGTTGGTATAAAGAAATTTTTATGTGGCTTGTGGATATTACCTTCATAGCGTGCATCCTGTTGCATGTCCAAAATGTATATAGTGAGGTTAGCTGTCGCCACAACAGAGTGATATTTATGTATCATTCTGTTGTGGTGACAGCTAACCTAACCATATATGTTTGTGGATGTTATGTTGGATATTGGAATTCTTGTGATTTAATGACTGATTTTGGGGGGGGGGGGATATTGGAGCTTCCGTTGTTTTCAGTAGACAAGACATGGCCTACTTGAAAAAATGTAGGAGTTTCATACACATTGATATGGTAGTTGAACTTGAGATTTGAATTATGGATCCTTTGGTAGCGTGTTGGAACCGGGACACTGAACTGTTTGTTGTTTATTAGGAATGGGCTAATTTTTGCCTTCATATGAACTTTAACTTCGCCTGTTCAGTTATTTTACAGCGTTATATAACATAATTGGATTTAAGGTTTGAAAGTGACGAGTGAAATGCTGTATAATCTGGTGGGAGTTCACCAGTGATTTGGTAAGGCTGCTTGAATGGCGTATTTTTTGTGAAGATGGAAGAATATGTTTCTCCAAAACATTGACCCTGTACCAGATTACACAGTGTTACATCTCAGGAGATTACGCTTTATATAATACTGATGTTAGTACAATGATTGTGAACAGTAAATATAGAGGGGAAGTGAAAGTGGCTGTGGACCATTTTATTTTATGATTACAAAATACTACAACTATGTGCCATCAGTGTGATTCGATAATAATACAACTATGAATAATGAATTGAGATGGATTTTGAAAATGATGGAGGACCATTTTATTTTAGTGTTATATCCCCTCGTTGGTGTCTCTACCTTATCGTGGTGAGGGGGTTTGAGTATGCCAAGGACCCTGAGAGCTATACCAGCGGTAGCGTAGCTACTGGCAGGGCCTCCCTTGCTGGACAGGTCAAAGGGTAGGCATCAGACGAGAGACCAAAAACCGATGCCGGAAGCAGCGTCATCACCAGCGACTTGAAGCACAGAGCAAATGATGCTCGAGATGGTTCAAGTTCGTATAGCAACAGGTGTGACCAGAGTGGTTTGAACGGCTGTTGTACTGCGATGTGGAAAGCAAATGGAAAAACTACCACATTATCACTTTTCCTGGATAGTCTCTTTCCAAAAACAGAAGATCGCATTAAGTGGAGGAACTGTTTTGGAAGAGACTGTGGACCTGTCATCTGACAGTTACTGATCAATCAATNAAGGAGAAAGCTCTGGATTGCATTAAGTGGAGGAACTGTTTTGGAAGAGACTGTGGACCTGTCATATGACAGATTACTGATGAAATGTTATATCAAGTACTATGGTATTTTAAGCGCCAGTGAGACATGATAATATGGCTGTGAGTGATGAAAGAGATTTGGAAGTAATTGTGGCCCTTTTAAGGGTCTATTTTGAATTTGCTTGGAGAATAACTGATCTCAGGTGCGACTGAAAAGTGGGTTATCTCCCACATGTCAAATAACGTTACACCTATGCCAACCTGCATGGTAGCTATAAACTTTTCACTTAAGTTTGTGTTATTTACCTTGGAATTAATGCTTAACTGTACTATGGAAGTGAAATCACTTCTGTGAATTTAACTGCTGATGCAAGCATTTTACATCATAAATGAACATCAGTTGGAACTGAATTCATTGGCATGAACTGTAAGTTATTCATCAGTACAAAGAAACAGTTGTATAGTCACAAACATAAGAAATGAATGTGAGGAAGGCTGGGTCTGATGTGCATAGCTTGCGTGTAATAACAGACATACACAGGAATATTTAATCTGTTTATCTGTCAGCAGGAAGCCAGAGAAAATGGCTGAAAAGTGCTGAAACATTTCAACAAGATGTGATGATTCTGTTACCAACTTTGTGTTTCCTGATGTGAGTTATGACATCAAGAGAAGGAATGCTGATTACTAAAGTGAAAAGCTGTTAACCTAGTGAACTGAAAGATCTAAGATTCTGGTACCTAACGAAGGATATCATACAACAACAAACTTCACATTTTATGTACTTCTGGTATTGTGAGCTGTACCTTGGACAGCTAAGTGTACTGTTTATTCCAAAACAGCCTATATTGCCTTCCCATGCACCCTGTTCTCTCCCCTCTTACCTGCTGTCTCCCCCTCCATGATTGAAATTAAATGACTGAATAGGCAGCCCTGGGCTATGATGTGAACCCAGGGCTCTCCTTAACATGAAGGATGAGACCTAGCCACTCTATCCAAATTTTCAGGAGTAATGTTAACACAGCAGGATGATAAAAGGTGATATTTTTAATGACACAGTGATTAACCTGTTTCATGCTTTATAAATTCAGTTTGTGTTGAATGCTGAAGAATGGTCAGCTGTAAAAGTCAACAGACAGCAAGACAGGCTCTTTTCACTGATAATGCCATACACAAGAAAGGGAGACCAGTTTGAAAGTGCTGTAACTTGTCTGCAGTACTGAAAGGTTAACCAGTATGTTGTAACGTGGTAGAGACGGATTTCTCCTCTGCCAGAAATTCCAGATTCCTTAATTTGCCCATGTCAAAATAATATATAAGAGAGATGCTAAAACCCCATTCATCTTGTCCAGTAAAAGAACGTTCTTGCTCATGATATGAAAGCAAGAAAAAATAAATTTCATTTGAGCACTGAACAAACAGCATCCATACAGTGGTGTTTCTAGCAGACAGTACTGTAATATTTTGTCTTCAGTGGAATCGGATCAACTCAGAAGATCGCTGTATTCATTGAGGACATTTCCTCACCCCATTCTGCTGTATCAACTGGTTCTGAGGGCTGGAAGCAGCAACAAGCCTGGCGTAATAGGAACATGACCTGTTGCTGACCCAGAATGCAGATATAGAGAAATATTAATGCCAGTAAAGCATTCACTACTATATGGCAATACACTACTACTGGATAGTGTAGCCACGAGAGCAACAGGAACAACCAAGCAATGGCCATCACCAGGAACAACTTCACAAAGAGTTCAAAGCTGTGAACAAACAAAAATTAACACAAATTTCATAAGCCTAGAAACAATAATCTTCACATTTTAAACATGACTTATTTTATAAAGGTTTTAGACCTAAATGAAATTGTGCTACTGCATCCAAGAGTGGTAGTTAGTTATTGGAGAGGGTGGGTTTCCCCATGTATTTAGACCTGTATTGGTCCATTGTGCTTCCCTCTATGATTTCTACCAGTCTCTATATCCTACCGGTACTGGTGCTTACCATCAGTCCCGCCCAGCCAGCGAGACCGGCTCTACTAGCTGAGAGGTATCTATAATGCTTCCCCCATCTACCAGAGGTATTAGAGACTGCTGTTAGGTGGGAAACGTCCGTAATTTGGCTCAGTGACCTCCTTTGGAGATAGGTTCTTTTACGGGCCGTAAAACTATGACACGGGACCCACGGCTTAAAGTCCCTCCTGGAGGACTTGTTCCCTGAATTTTTCTGCCCTTTAAAAATTCAACTACCTCCGCCGGGTATTTGAATCCGCGTACTACGAGTCATGAGGTGGGAATATTACCTCTAGACTACGGAGGCCGCTTATCCAAGAGTGGTAAATTATCCAGCTTAATTTGTGCTGCAATATTGGTTGAAAGCAATTATCAAGTTTCCTCCTCTATGTTCTTCAACACAAAAAAAAAAAACAGAAAAATCGTAACAAACTGTTGACTGAGAACACCACATTTTAATAATACCATTGCTGCTATTGCTTTGACCTGCCACGTCTCAGCTGAAGCTACATAATATCTGCAGCGTATGCAGTATCATTTAAAAAACCTATTATGCACTTCCCAGTAGGTAAATGTTGTGCAGACACTAATTCAGCAGCAGGCCACGCATGCAGTTATATCTGCTGAGAAGTCAGTGGTTAAAGTATACCATGTGTTGTGGAGTGAATACCTCAACAAGTCCACAGACTTCATCTGGACTCAAGTCTTTCACCTTGACCAAAAGTCTGACCTGTAGTTTTCTTGTCAACCATGAAGCCCTAAATTTGCGTAAGAAAAGAAATGCTATTGTTTGGCCAGGGTGAATATTAAAAATGTCATTAATGAATTCATATAAACATCATTTTAAGTGCATGAAAATCAAAAACATAATCATGCACCTTTTAGAAAAAGAATAACCTCACTACTACCTACCATAGTTCTGACTCATTCTAAATTTATGTGCTGTTGAGAGCAAGTGATAAAGGACTGTATTCTGACTCATTCTAAATTTATGTGCTGTTGAGAGCAAGTGATAAAGGACTGTATTTAAAGACTATGGAACACATGTCTGACTCTGGACAAGAAGCCAGCTATGACTGATTCAGTGGTGTCCCACGTAGTTCCATACAAGGCTGCACTTCATGTAACGTTGTAGGCCAGACTACTTTCTTCTACATCCCTGTTAATGTACCATTCATATTTGCCCTCACATCTCATTTTATGTTAATTATTCAACAAATTATGTAGTATTATCTCTGCTGCCAGTCCCCTCCCACACATACAATTTTACCTAGACTGTAGCTCAAAAGAATAACATTTGCAAGTGTTTTCCTTTACAAACCAAAATTCATGAGAAATTGAGGTCTTTTCAATTCTAAAGCTTGTTACTTTTGTTTTAAACCACCGTTATAACACACTGACCAAGATTTTTAGTAATTACTTGGTCCGCCTAAATTAATTTTGATGGTCTCTCTTCAACAAAAGAAGTATTTCTGTTCTTTAGTATGTTTTGTCAAACTCATTGTTCAGGTGAATACAAGGGATCACCAGAACATGAATTGCCTGGTATTGTATTCTTCCACATACAATGGCATTCCACTTTGAAAAAAGTATTGATGTACTGCATTCAGTATATCATTCAGAAAGCATAATTACCTGTACTTCATTTTATGGTGGATCCTGCCATATGTAGACATTTGATTGATGACTTGCCCTGTTGTTAGGTAAAAGAATATGTTTACCAAAACTGTGAAAGCCACAGGAGTGAAGAAAACTGCTTTGCCAAGCCATCCTGACAAGAAAACAAATTTTCAGGTGTTGAAATTACTTTGATTCTGGCAGATGTTTGGTTCCACATAAGATAAATATGTTGTGTACCTTCTGTTCTACTGATATTTGAAATCTTATTATTATTATGGCGTTGGAACGATATAAACAATATTTGTCACAGCTGAGCTCACTTATTTTACTGGTAGTGGATTAAAAGAACTATCACACAACATAAGGCAAAAAAAATTGTTGGGTTAGCCCTTATTCATTAATAATGCATGTGATTTAAACTCTGATGTTACAGTCACTAAGCTAGTCAACAAGTGCACGAAGATGAGAAACTTTATACTGAAAATAATGAGAAAACATGGGGTTGACACAAAAGAAATGTGTGGGTATCATTATCCTTCCGACTACTTTTGGAAGCTTCTAAAATAATAGACGCAAACTACAGAAAACTCCAGTATCCAGGCACATTGAATTCTCATGCAACTAGCAAAAATTTCAAAGAAAATTTGCTACTTCTATAAAATTACTATAATAGTAAAGCTGGAATCCTTGTATGTTCATTCACCTGCCACATGGTAGTTCTCCCAGGTGTGGCATGCTAGTGGCTAGCAATACTGCCTATCATCCCTTACACATATGTTAATGATAGTAGAGGCCGGCTGAATTTGTGATCGTGTTGCAATATATCCAAAATCTCTCACCTATCAGTGCACTATATCTAGGGAGACTCCCACATAAGAACTAAAGGAAGAACATGTCTTGTTGATTTTGTATTGGGTTTCTGTAAGAGGTTGTCTCATACAACTGGGATACCCAAGTCCCACACGTGCAAGGTAACTTGTAATCAACTGTACTATGTTGCTAGCATACAAAAAATGTGTGTTACATATGACCAAGAACATGCTAATGAAATAAGAAGAGGTGATTTATACATAAATGCAACTGCTGAACTGCAAGAAACTGTTAAGATCTGATGGCTACTATTGCCTGTACAAGATCACTACCAAAATACAATTACATTACAAATGTGGTGAACTGACCTATGGTTTTCTGTGTTGATGGTGTTGTGCTTTTGAGATTGTTCGTATCCAGCATGAAATGTGCAAAGAGAGCAATGCTGGCCATCGTAAATGTTACACCCCACGCATAACAAGAATAGTAGCAATATTTTCGGCCATCAGTTACCCGCAGAAACACATTCCTGGACCTGAGAATACAAATTTCAAATTCTTCCATCAAATATATGTTGCATTTAGATTAAACATTTATGAGATAGGAATCCTTTTTTTTATTGCTAGTGGGGTGGGACTAGGAATCCATTTTTTTTATTGCTAGTGGGGTGGGACTAAGTCCCTTGTACTGCGGCCACTTCTGGCCTATTCTACCAGATGATAGGTGGGGGTGATTGTGGAGCAATTGGTGGAATGAAGATTGGCAGGGGAACCGAAGTACTCGGAGAAAACCTGCCCCAGCGCCACTTTGTCCACCACAAATCCCACTTGAGCAGACCCAGGATCGAACCTGGGCCACCGTGGTGAGAAGCCCACGACTAACCGCTTGAGTTATGGCGTGGCCAAATAGGAATCTTACTACAATACTTCTGCACTATCAGAACAGTCATTTAAAAGATTTATATAAAAGTGTTATGGCAATGTGTGCTTTTAGGCAATTTAGGGACATTTACAGGTTCAAAATAACATAACAGGGCAATGTTATGAATTCTTAAAAAGTACTAAACATGATCCTGCCTAACATTTTATGTTTTGAAGTATGATTTACTGTGGCTGAGAAGACATACCTGAAGGTTTTCCAGATGTAGTAGCCCAGACTGTTGAGCCAAAAGAAAGCAGCCATTAGGCTCACATACATCACAATGTCTAGAAAAATAATCCAGAGTCATGTAAACCAAATATAATTCAAAAGTATATGAAACCAATTTGATATCTGCAGACTGCATATTATATAAAAATCTAATCAGCATTCCAAATACTGTAGTATCAATCAAGGGCTGAATAAAAAAGGTCTCAAGCTTAAAGTAAACAAATAAATAACAATGAAATAATAATAACAATAATAATAATAATAATAATAATAATAATATAAATGGGCTGCTGTATTGTGTTATGTGGAAAACAGGTTACAGTGTGTCTGAGATTTGAACTCAGGTGTGATATCAGTTGAAGACGAAGATGATTGTTAAATTCTATGTCCAGCATATTTCCAATACAAACACACCACTGGGAAATTCAAACATACTGGGTTAATACTTCTCTCACAAGGTGGCAGGGGACACAAATGGATCACAATGTAGACTCAGAAATCTGTGTATGTGATATTACAAAATTGTATGACTATATCATTTTTATAGACAATTTACTTATTATTTTCATTCAGTAATAATACTTTTCTAATATGTTGTATCTCTATTCTGCAATACTGATTAACTCTTTTTTTTTCCCTAAATGTTCTTCCAGTAATTTTTTTTCTGATAACATCAGTATAGTAACTCTAGACTATACTACTTCTTAATTTCCTTTTGAGGAATGAGATTTTCTGATGGCATCATTACTGGCCTTTATTCACCAGCTGTGATAGCTCTTTTCAATTCGAATTACAGTGCATAAAACTCGGTTCAATGAATTGGTATATCTCACTTGCCCATAATTTATATTGTATGAAAACATTACACATATAACAAATTTAAATAAGCAGTTTGTTAATTTTTAAACAATATCAGGACAATACACGACTGCACCCAGGACTTCTGCATTACAACTCTTTAACCTTATCCCCCCAGCTATGAAGCCAGGTTGGCAACTGTACTGTAGCCATACCAAAGGAGAAAACCTTTAAAGCCTGTATTTAGGAAACCAGGACCCACTGGACAAAAGGGCTAGGCCTATGTCTATTTTCCATGCACTTTCAAAGCAAAATCCGGTCTAGAAAACTGAAATTAATGGCGATGAGAGCCGTTGCGCTGACCATGCGACATCCTCTATCTGCTAAAGTTGGCACTAACTTCACCGACAAGTGGCGGTCGCACGGTCGGTATAGTTCGCTTGCAGACTAAAACCAGTTTTTTTTTTGTTTCAAAGCAAAAAACTTCAACCACATAAATCAGTACCATGATGGCTGCAAGTTGTGGAATGGGTTATATAAGATGGGACTAGTAACAAATCCATTGCAATGTATATTCCAATGACGTATGTCAACATTTTTAATATTTTTAAATGACTGATGAACACGTGGTGAAAACATAGGGAGTATGCTTTGTGAATAAATGCTGATTTCGTCAATAATACTCATGTCTTCAGTTGTTTATTATTAGTTGTGTTGTGATAGATGGAGTGATATACATAGCAGTGAGAATACGAGGTGCTATCGGAAAAGTTCTTGGACTAGGTCAAAGAAGAAATGCTGGCTTAACCTACTCAATTTTGGCTGTCATCTCCTTCAAAATAATCTCCTTGGGAATGTACACAAAAATCACATCATTTTTTCCATGCTTCAAAAGCACTGTGGAAGTCATTTTCCTTAATCCTGTAGAGTACCGCATGTGATTCCCTTTGGATGTCAGTTTCAAAATGTCATCCTTTTGGTTTCATTTTCAATTTGAGAAAACAAAGCAAAATCACAGAGGGCTAAGTCTGGTGAGTATGGAGGATTGGGAACGATAACCATCTTGTTGTTAGTCACAAACCCTGTGGTTTTCAGGGATGTGTGGGTGGGCATGTTGTCATGATGGAGCAATGTGGCATATCTTCAAATTTCCTCTTAAGCTCTCCTGCCAAACTCCATAACTGAGCCCAGTGGTGTCTACGAGCTCATGGATTGTTTGGTGACAGTCTTCATGGATGAGTTCTCAAATTTTTTCAACATTTTCTGTTTTGCTGGTGCTTCATCACCCTGAACGTTTGTCATCTTCAGCTGACATGCAACTGGCCTTGAAACATGAATGCCATTCAAAAACTGAAGTCCAGCTTAAAGAATGCTCTCCAGAAACGTCACGATGCATGTCAGGCGCTTCGGTAGCAGATTTACTGAGCTTCATGCAAAACTTGGTGCGAACACGTTGCTCGATATTGGCATCCGTCATAGATAAAACAAAACACAAAGTCGAAAAAGCACTTGTGCAAAAACAATGCGTGTTCACAGCATGGTCTCACGTGGCAGACTGATGCAATAGGCTTTTGGAAGTGTGACCTTGGCCTCCCATCATCATCTTTCACCAAAGCAGTTACAACAGTAGTTGGGAACGTTCCGATACCACCCCGTACTTTCATCAAAACCAAATAAAATTACAATTTTATTAATATTGGTTTAAAGAACATACCTGCCACCAGAAAGCTAACATGGCTAGTGAATTCTGTGAAGATGCTGACAAGGTCAGCAGCTTGGCTTGTTATGAGGCACAGAGAAATTGATGTTAGAATGTTGCCAACTAGATCCTTCAGTTGAGGCATAACAAAATAGATGACAGCTATGATGAGGTAACATATGATGGCCAAACCATGGCCTACAGGATTTACAATGCGACGCATGAGGTAATCTGTGAAGTCCGATTTGTTGAAGTCAATTTCAGGAACACAGACAATTGCAGTCTGTGCTTCCAGCTCCCCATGTGTCAAAACCACCTGTACAGAAAACAGCACAATTCTATTTGCATCTTCTGTTATAGGGATGAATGAATTCAGATCTTTGGATTGATTTCTCCACATAGGAACTTAGAATGTGTCTGGCCACATGCAATGCAACTGACATCCAAACATAGCGGCCTCCGTAGTCTAGGGGTAACTTTCCCACCTCATGACTCAAGGTACGCGGGTTCAAACCTGGCGGAGGTTGTGGGATTTTTAAGGGCGGAAAAATTGAGGGAACAAGTCCTCTGGGAGGGACTTTTAAGCCGTGGGTCCTGTGTCATAGCTTTACGGCACGTAAAAGAACCTCATGTCTCAAAAGGAGCCCACTGAGCTAAATTAAGGACATTTCCCGCCCAACAGTCTCTAACGCCTCTGGTAGATGGGGGAAGCATCGAGATACCTCTAAGCCAGTAGAGGCCGACCTCGCTGGCTGAGTAGGGACTGATGGTAAGCACCAGTACCAGTTGGGTATAGCGGCTGGTAGAAGATTATAGGGGGACGCACAATAGATCAAACTGGTCGTGCTGCATGGGGAAACCCACCCCCTCCAATAACAACAACAACATCCCAACATTGCAGCTTCTTGATTAAATGATTATCTGTTGAATTCAAGCAAGCATTCCCTGATTCCAACTTGTTCTTAATTTTTTCATTAATGTAATTTTGAATTGTTACTGTTTTCCCCACACATTTGAACTTTGCCAAAGTTACATTCTGACGCTGAATCATAAACATACATGATAAAAGCCACAAAACTGAGAAATGAGGCCTAAACAGTATGAAGCAAGTAATGTAAACCATCATAACAGTGCATGTGTGTTTGTCATTGGGCATACCTTATCAAGACAGTAAGTTCCTTGTTTGTAGTCATAATGCCACTGAGTATCGCCATCCTCATTTTGGTGTTGTTGAAGCAAATCATTGTCCTGAGTTATTTCAACACCCTCCGGATGTGTGACATAGTGTCGCAGTATCCCACTTGGAAGTAATACTAGACGATCATGTGAGTCTGAATAATGGTAGATAGACCACAGCTGCCTTGGGCACTGTGGTATTCCAATAATCAAGTTAAAGCCTGGGATTTGTACGTTACTTTGTCCATCTTCATCCGTGAACAGTGGTGACCATACCCCTGTGTCAGTCTCATTGCCATGCACACAGCGAGAATCAACCATCAGTTCATGTCTTTCACAGCACTTCTGCACTCTCACCAGTTCATTATTTTCCTTCTTCTGTGGTGGATCTTGAACTGCTATATAAAGTAACAGTGAATTAAAATTTTTATAATTATTACATTTATGTATGTAGTATACAGAAATCATCATGAAAGTAAAAAACTGATCATGGGATTCTAATGAGAAGAGAGCAAGATACTCCCAGAACAAGGAAAATAATTTTTAGAATGATATTTGTGCATATGCCTGAAATATCTAATGCCACCGTAGATTCACTAGATTTTCATCCAATTTTGTATTCATGGTTATATTCTAAATAGGTGAATGTCATTATTAAACCAACAGTTTGAATACATTTACTTTATTTAGATGGATATTCCTGTCTGCTTCTGTATTTGTTGGAATATGTTTAGATAAGTGCTTCAGAATTTTAGAGGGAAATGCTGGCAGGCATATAAACTTATTTACCTCATTTCCCTATAGAATCCAGAAAGTATGGTAAAAGGTAAAGGTGAAGCTATCCATGTAATGGGTCGTTGAGGCCCATAGGGTTGTGAGAGGTCGAGGCTTCCACATTTTCTAGACGGTTGTCTCAAAGATGACTCAGGATGTCAGCCTTCCGTGTTGGCCCCCCTTTTAGACCCTAGGAAGATTTCTGGTACCCATTTCTGTTAGAGGCCTGAGTTGACCCCTGGGCCATAGTGCAACTGGAAGGATTAGGTCAATTGAAAAATCGAATGACCTTATCGGAAATCGAACCCAAGACTTTCTGGCTTGTAGCATAGTGACTGAACCATGTTACCGTGTGCCAAGAATCCAGAAAGTAGAATGTACAATAACGTCCACAGTATAATGATCTCAATTCATATTAAAAAAAAACTGAAGATTCATCTTGACTTTATGCACAAAAAAAAACACTTTCCAGTGGGGTGGGACTCCACACAGTAATGCCTTTTTTTTATTGCTAGTGGTGTGGGACTAAGTCCCTTGCACTGCGGCCACTTCTGGCCTTTTGTACCAGCCCCAGATGATAGGTGAGGGTGATTGTGTAGCAATTGGTGGACTGAAGATTGGCAGGGGAAACCGAAGTACTCGGAAAAAACCTGCCCCAGCACCACTTTGTCCACCACAAATCCCACTTGACCAGACCCGGCATCGAAACCGGGCCGTCGCGGTGGGAAGCCAGCGACTAACCTCTTGAGCTTTGGCGCGGCCCAGTAATGCTTAACTCGATACACCATTCTTCTGAATTTTATTGGGAATTTAACTTGCCAGACCATTGATTTGTATTGCAGATAAAGGTTAAAAGGGAATTAAAATAGTTTTAAGATGAAAGTAAATTTGCGAGACAAAACAAAATTCAAACCCAACAATTCATCACACTACACAAAATTCATTATTTTACCTTCGACCCCCATAACCATAGACGAAGTGTTGAACGGGGAGGTGTGTGTCAGAAGACACACCGTCCCTAACACTATTAACTTCACATTACATCCCAACATTGCGCCCTCTTTCCGAGTGTTTGTTATCTCAAGTACAATATAGAGTCACATCTTTGTTTACAAAATTGGTACCGCATGGAAATCCATTCCGAACATGCTCTCCACCGTTATAGCCTTCAACTTTTTGCAACGCACATTTCCGCTTTTACGCGTGATTCATCACTTTACACAGATGTATGAAAAAAGCCAAAACAATGGAGAAGCCTCTTGAGGCTCTTGAGCGTTAGTAATCTGTGTACTTCAGCGAGTTTTGGCTTCCACCTAATACCAGTAACTTCTGCCATCTATCGAACATAGTAGGAAACAATTAGTGCAGAAGCCGTATGAAATTGGATAGATTTTGTTCTTCGTATTGTTATTTATTTTTGGTTTGTTTGACAGCTCTGTTACAAGCAGAAGATGCTGTGTAAAGTAGTGGGATGATTGGTGAATGACGAGTTGGAAACTCTGGGGAAAGACGCGATCGTAGCATTTTCGTTCCAAGTTTGATGTAAGCCATCCAACATTTCGCAAGAAAATATCGCCGCCGTCATCAGGGCCAAAGACAAAAGTCAAGGGAGAACCTCCGAAACTTTGGGTTGACTTTCACCGGATAATGCGATGTAGTATCACAGAAGCCAGAACCCTTCTGAGAAAAACCTATCACAATATCAGGCCCCTGGGCCAAGATTTGAACCTAGGACCTCCAGAATATGAAACGAGTGGTATCTGTCTACTCACTCACTACGTTCAGTTATTCCTCCTTTGCTTTTCCTACTGATAATATAAACCCTATTGTTCTGTCTGTTGCCATCCATCATATTGATTGAATTATCCCATTTCTCAGGATCGTGTAATATTCATTTGTAGTTTATTTAATGAATGCACTAACTTGAACTATGAATGACTGCATTGTGATGAATAAACTGGAAAGGACATGCAAAGAAATGTATGTGGTTTAATTTCAGGCACTATCCTGGAATTTGGATAAAGTGATAAAAACCATGAAAAATCTCAGAATATTCATGGCTCAGCTGAGATTGAGACATTTCCAAATATGGGTCAGAAGGCTCACCACTTGAGTTAACTTCACTGTGCCCTACATATTATGAAAAAGAAGAATCTAAAATTATCCCATCTAAATGTAACTGTCCAAGTAACTTTTGAATCAATAAGAAGGCAGGGCAACAAGATACATTCAGTTCTAACATCACAACATGACGGATTAAGTTGGAACATAACAGCCATACAGATTTCAGTCTTAATATGCGAGCACAACATATTCAGGCCCAGCATGACATACACTGTCTGAACATGATAACTTGGCATATTCATGCTTTTTCAGGCAGAGCAAGGCTAGTGATATTATGTGAATTGATGATAACTGAAAACGTATTCAGCTGCTGAAGATAATTTCTGTCTGAAACTTAATCAAACAGATACCACCACACTGAAGGTGAATAAAAAAATGATTTCCTGTTTCCATGATTGTTTGGTGCTGATGCTGATTCTATCTTGTCTTTGAGCTTTTTACACTGGTTACTATGAAAAGCACTTTGTACTGGGATGCGACACCACGTAGTGTGGATTCGATTTTTGGGGCAGCAGTATTGTGTGCAGCTGGTGCTGTCATCCAAAAACAGGCCCAGTGTCAGAAATTAATATGGTGATTTTATTTAATGTTGATAATAGAAAACCATTGTATGTGAAACTTAGTAAGGCAGGACATTATGAATGTGTTTACAAATTGTGTAAAGATCATATTGATGTCTTTGAACCCTGATTTTGGTATGTTTACAATAAAGTGATATATCCCCTTTACGTGCCAGCCGCCTTTTACACCCCAGGAAGATTCCTGGTGCTCATTTCTGTTAGAGGCTGAGTCGACACCAGGGCCATAGTGTGGCTGGAAGGATTAGGTAAATTGAACAAAATTCACCTTATCAGGACTTGAAATTGCGACCTTCCGGCTTGTAGCATAGTGCCTCAAGCAGGTAGAAAGACTGACATGTAATAAATGACCCGGGGTGTATGTTGTATCAGTTTGCATGAGGTAGAAACCAAATATTTTTGTATTATTTATGCTGGAAAGGGTTAAACAGATACATTGTGATTAATATAAATGTTTCATATTAAAAAAATATAAATTGTTTACTTATAAATGCATATTCTGTTGTCTGACCAAAATATTACATATGGAACATCACAGTACTGCCTATACTTGTACCTAATGCATGTTTACTAACACACATTCAAACTGTTCCTTTATTTTTAATCTCACTGCATTTCTGTGTACAAGATAAATGGCACTTATGATTAAGAAAACACAAACATTCTCTGGTAATGAAGTTACTTCACTATTTGTACATTTCGTGTTGTAGCTCATACTGATTGTTGTGCAGTACAGTTATTATTTGTTGGCCAAATAAGTGCATAGGAAACTCTGATATGACAGGAGACGTGGGCTTGGTCAGGCTTTATGTACAGCTCCCATTGTCTTTCTTCTCAAACCTCCAAAAACCAAGTACTGATGTAAATAAACATTTGTGGGCCATGCCATAGCTCAGGCAGTCAGTCACCATCTTCCCACCATGGTGGCCTATGTTTGATCCCAGGTCAGGTAGTGTGGGATCTGCAGTGGACATAGTGGCTCTGGGGCAGCTTTTCTCCAAGTACTTTGATCCCCCCTGTTGGTTCTCACCCCACCAACTGTTCCATATTCATTGATCATCTCATTATTGATGCTATATGGTCTCCATATTGACAGCGTCATCTAATGAACAAATACTATCATCCTCAAGGAACAAAACACTCCTTGTTCAGATAGGACATACTTGTTTATCAAATTCAGATGTCCGCTCGTCTTGAAAATTAAGTTCATGCTAGCATCTAATTTTTTCACGAGTTCAGTTACTCATAATTCTATGTAGAAACAACATTGAGTCAGCCAGTCAGAAGACCTCACTGTTTTAATAACAATAAAACTAGAATTTCATTATTACATTATGCATGCAACTATGCGCATAAAGCCATTGTCTGTTTCAACCAATCATCAAGTCATAAACACTATCAAAATTACAGCTTCACTCCTAACATACAATGCTATTTGTAAGGCCATTGCATACTTGAAGGATACTATAAAGCAAAAGCTTATATTTTGATATGGTTGACTCGTTATTCTTCAGGTACTGTTACTCATTTCCATTACTACCAAAAGAAATATACTGTATAGGCTTGGGATAAGAGCACAAGCCAGCTTCTTGTTCATTTATATATTCCTATAAATGCTATGAACCTTCAGTATACAGAATATCCTACATTCACTTTATGTGCAGTAGTTTTCTATAGTAACTACTGTCATATCATATTTGTATGACATTCTCACATCATGATGCCTTTCACATGTTGGCCCATATGAGGTTAAGCCACATTCATGATGCAACACTGATACTATGAAAAATATAGTGTAATAAGGTAACAGTAGATAGAGTTGTTCCTGTGCTTAATTAAGCACACTCTGTGAAGGTGTATGGGAGATTGGAGGTATAGCTTCACCATTCTTGACCTCAAAATTAGGTGGAGGTGAGCCCCTGCTGCTTTACTCCTGGGGAAAGAGCCTATAGTGCCCATTGTAAAAGGGGGCTGGATGGACCCTAGATCTGGTCAGGTTGCACTAGAGTACAGATAAATCTCTGCCGAGAGTTGAACCCTGGTTATCCAGCCTGTAGTCTGTCACTATATCAATTGAGCTATCCGAGCTCAGTATAGTGTAGTTAAATTGTTAATTGAATATTTTACTTTTCTTCTTTGCTGACAGTGAGATTTTTTTCATATAGTGGACTATTATCTGAATAAGGTTTCATATTAGGAGTAATAAAAATTGTAGCCTTCACATTATTTCTGTAGGATTTGAGATTGTCACAGCAGTGGCATAGAGTTAATTTCAGAGTATTACATAACATTATATTCCAGAAGACAGAACTTCTTGTCCATACTGTTTTCCCTTCTGTGCGAAAACAAAATAATGCTCCAGTGGTATCCCAGTGCCCGCAGAATGGTTTTTGAGACAAGTACTGGTGTCACATTTAAAATGTTCATCTAAAATGTTTGGTGCTTACAGAAAATGTAAATTCCAGTTATAGTTGGATGTAATTACTGAGAAAATTTAGCACTTAAATATCCCAAATGAAAGTCAGATTTTGGATCTACTGCTTCCATCTTTTGCCATAACTTACCGTTTCATAGAAAAAGGATTGTTGTGTAATAACAGTGCTGGAGCCACATTACTCTGTCCACAGTAATAATAACTGTAAAATACAGCATTTTAATATGGATGCATTAATGTTTCCGTTAAAAAAAGAAAAGGATAAATACTGGCTGAAATCACATACATCTGTTCTTTTCAATCCACATTTGTGACAGCTGCCACCCACTTCTTTCACTAGTGGTCCTTTTGATATCTTTGCATAACATGCCTTTTTGCACTTGCACATGTAACATTCACTTGTATTACAGTGCTTGGCCATGTTATCTTAACACATTTATCGTGTGTTTGCTACACATCAGGTTCTAATTTGTGTTTGTGACAGTTCTTCTTCCTCTGCAAGCATGCCTTCCGATTCTTCGTCTACTCCCACTGCCCATCTCTTAGGGCAGTTAAATCCCCATGGTCGATTCCTGACAAGGCCCCGCAGGGCTTTCTTGCGAAAGACTACCAGTATTAGGAAGATTATTAGTCCTTGTAGGCAGTTCAAGATATCCATAACTAGCCTGGAAGAATGAAAAGTACACTGTGATACTTTTTTATTCTGCCATAAACTAGGCATACAAATATAAATTATAATGAAAGATGTGAAATTGCTCAAAAATTACTAATTTAAGAAGTTCAGGCATGTAAATCCCCAAACACATCAGTGGTGTCTGAGTGTAGGCAAAGCTGGGTTAAATGGTGCACTTATCTGTAAGATGTAGATGCAGTTAGTATAGTGAAATGTGCCTTTCATCTGTTTCACTGTCTATAGCTAACTCTTATTAACTGGCTGTGCGTTATCTTATTTATCCAGTAACTGGAGGTCTGTAGAATCCAGGATACATGTTTACTCTTGTCAACGATGAAATATGTTACACGAAAAGGAAAATGTGCTTTGTGTACCATTTCTAATTCTTTCTTTTTGTGAGTATCACATTTTTTCAAATTATGCAAGCCATGAACTCAAGAATACTGAAAAAGAAATAAAAATCGTGTCCCTGTTTACAATTCTGTTATTGCTTATTTTAGTAATATATCTTATTTTTATTTTTTATGAAGTTTCAGAACAGCATGGTGTTGTATAGCCAGCAAACCCTACTCATGCACGCACTTAGATTGGAAGGTGGGAGATTACATGAATTATGATAGTCATTTATCATGGGTTGTACCATTTGTAAATTAGTGGTAGACTGGAGAACTACTTCTGTATTGTAATCTGAGTAATTATGTAATATTAAACTAATGCATACTTACCAGAAACCAGTGGATTCATCTATAATGACAGAGATTACTTCAAATATCCATGGAATTCCCATTACAAGAAACAGCTTGAGGTACAGGAGACATCTGTAAAAGAAAGGAATTGTTTAGCAAAGTTTAACTTGCACAGAGAATCTCTAAATATTCGCTTTTGAGTGAGAGCACTTGCTGTACTGTCTGAAGGTCTGCTGATTGGATTTGACTTAATGTGATGAAAATAACCAGAAGTAGGTGTACAAGAACCAAGATAATATTGTGGTTGTAAACATTTTACATAAGAATGTTCTGGTATATCAAAAGAAATGTTCTACCCTGAAGACAGATGCAGCAGGTTTCTTCAAAATATTGATACTTGTCTACCAGGTATCATGATGTCGTATCCAGAAAAATGGAATTTTAAAATGAATGTTATATCAGTATTTATAAAATAATCATAATATGAAATGTAGCTGTCATCATTTACAGCAGTTCATTTTAATACTGTTTTTACATTGTTACTAGAGACTAGCCCATTGAAATCAGTGATGAACTGAAAGTATTGTCACATTTATGAGTGACTATAGACAGGTTTTGGATTGATAATTGGATTTATTCAACTCTTTGATTCAGTGCGTGACTACACTGTACAATTCAATATGTGCTATGATGGGTTAGTTTAATATCGGCGCTTAAACGCTCGCTTTTGAATAGGGAGTAGATTCTAATAAATGTTCTGAAGGCCTTATCTTCGATCATTTTTATATGCAATCTCCATGTAATCCTCATATCAATGATTACACCGAGATATTTTACATGACTGACGAAAGGGATATTCCATCCACTCAATGTAAGAAGAGCATCAGGGGGCCCAAGTCTACGAGAACTCTACTCTGCTTACTGACCGAACTGCTTATAACATCTTGGCATGGACCACACAGAAAATACTGTTCCTCTGTTGCTGTTTAGAGGGCATTGCCTAGTAACAGCCATTTCCTGGTTGTTTGTTTTCTCTGTCATTGCCTGGCAATGGGTCTACATGCCACACAGTATGAATATGGGAATCCTAGTTGTTAAAGACTGATTGGGCTTACTATAACCAGTGAAACATGTTTACTAAGTTCAGTTTAAGTTTGCTTTGCTTTTATGTGAAAAAGAATTTAATTTTCTAACTGCTACTATGTAGAAAGTGTGTGTTTTTCGATACTCACTTGAATCTTAGACATCTAAGTTTGGGTACAGAGTGGCTCTGACAATCTTTCCATAGGCGCCATGCTGTCCAGATGAAGTACACAGTATTGAGAAAGAGTAGTACTGCCATTGGGCCATACAGATATGCCCATTCTTCTTTATGACCTGCAACCACATAAATACTAGTTTCTATTGATTCCCATAAAGGGATATTGAACCATAAAGCTTAAACATT